TATATATATATATATATAAAGGGGCCTAGTTGTCCAGTTACCATAGTCCATGTCACCTTAAATTGGCCACCAACAGATTTGGCACGATCATCTTATAAGACTGTTCCCATAGACTGGTGAGTCTGTTCCAATTAGCGGATCTCACTACGTGTTATTTGTGGTATAACATTGTCTGAATATTTTTTCATCATTACACTATAAAGCGTTCTATTCATTACGCCTGAAAATTTAGGAATAATTTGCTGAAAGGCTGCTGCAGCTAACTGATTACCGTCTGACGGATATGATGAAGGAAATAAGCAGAATACTAATAGTATATTTTGTATTTGTATAACTTGTGCAACCTTATATGCTTACTGTTCAGTTAAAAGACAATTAGCAGTTAACACCAATGACTGCAATCCTCGTCTGTTTGCGGTGTAGAGTGGACTCTTAAGTAGCTTCTGGATAACGGTTGCTCCGTGTTTCTTGCCTGTAGCTATAACTCAATGTGATACCGTGGACGGGCACTTTTTAAACGAACGTCCTACTGACCGCCCGCCCGAAAAGACATGAAGTCGCAGCAGTTGATCATGGGTATGGACGAGGCATTGACCAGTGTGGTAATTGTGCTGTTGTTGTAGTTGTGCGTGGCCTTGGTTTGCGGTCACATTCGAACACACGCGCTGTTAGCCTATACCACGTACGAACCACATGTCTAAGTGCAGATTATAAGTCGGTGGTTGTCTAGGGCAATAAGTATTTGCGTGATTCGTATACATCCATACACATCACCCTCTCCAAATGTCTTACCATCATGGCCGGTGAATGTGAGGTTGATTCCCGTTGTCTTTGTACAAGTGATTTTCGTTTGGGCAATTTCTTTTTCTTCTGAAAATCAATATTGAGAAGAGTTGATCCCAATCGAGATTCGATAAGTGATAAAATAACTGAAGGAATTATTTTCAGTCGATGATACAATATCAGTAGGAAATTTTTTATTTCACCGACTTTCAGCACAATGCCAAGTGAACTGAAAAATTAAAAAATCCATTATCCATCAAATGGTTTTATCATTTCGCTACGTTTAATCATTAGAGGAGTGTGTAAAAGATCCAGCAAGTGATCTGCATCTGCTTTTGTCGTTGTTATGCAACGCTTGGCAACCACGCCAGTAATATTTTATCATGAGTGCTTGTATCTCATTAGATCTTTTTGGTTCATAGCATTTTGTTTGCTTTGCCTTGCCGATTTAACTTCAACCCCGATCCACGGAAGACGTGTCTGTCAGTGTTGCCTCGCCAACCCGTGTCCCGACTTTCTACCGCCGTCCCCCCACCCTCGTTCGACGCCCGCAAAGCCTCGTATCGTCTCCAGCTGCGAGAACACGAGCCGAGGGAAGTTCTGTCGCGCATCTTTGTCCACTCCACCGCTCTGTGAGAACCCGAAGTACGTTCGGATTAAAGTTACACGTTCTGTCTAAATGTACGGTGGGAAGAGCAGACCTCACGGTCACACAGACCCACTGAACAGGAATCCGAAAGGTTAGCCATGAGACGCGTAGTAATGAACGACAAGTGACTCTAATGGAATACTGATAAAGGCCAGATTGAAGTTGGATGAATGAGCGAGGTGTTCAACCGTTGTACATGTATGCATGCTAGGGATAGATTCTTACTCCACACAGTATCGCCGAATTAGAGAGAAGTTGATTTTGGTGCATTAAATAACGTAAACCTCGATCACCCATGTCGTTCACTATTCGCCTTGCCACCAAACACTCACCTCAGGGAGCACTCACTCAAATTAGTGCTCCGAACATTTCGACTAGACTGCATGTTTCACTCACATTTGCCTTCATAGAGTGCAGTATTTGGATTTCCCCATCACCTCACGTTGTTACTGCAACCACAGTTGATTATCTCAAGTACAAACTGGATGAAACTTTCAAGTCAAGTCAAGAAGCGGCTTCAATTCGCCCCAGTGTAGTTCCCAGTTCGACGATATAACGGACTGCTCGGCCAATTTCATTGGCCCTGCCCATTCACAACGTTGACATGTCTTAAATCTCGACATCCGTATCAGTACACGAAACACGGATAATTTGTGACATTCCTCAAGAATACTTTGACAATGATTTTCACTTTTTAACCACACACCTTTGTACTATGGGAGTAAGAGGATCAACAGTTGAAAATTCACACATTCCTTACCCTTTTCAGGATTTCACTGTAGTAGGCTGGTAGATCATCACAATTGGAACTGTCCGAACCAGTATCACTATGAAAATATAGGTAAAAAAATATATGTATATTGATTCGGTCAAATGATGAACTTCTCGAACAATATTCTGTTTTTGTTGTAAACGTTTTTCTGTAAATTTCGTAATGGAAACTTTTGGAAAATTCACAGTGATTTGTTTAATAAGCACTGCTTCTCTCTAGTGATTGCAACTGCTTTCGTCCCACTTTCATCAATTCACAGTGATAGAGGTAACTTTCAGTCGTTTGCTTTCGTGCCCACTGACGGAGCTCAATTTGAAATAGTGTGTCCCATCGAGCAAGTTTTTGTCTGTGCTAGTGATTTATCAGTCCCACTCGATGATGGAGTCACTATCATGAAAACTTGCCGCATTTTCGTCTCAGAAATTAACGTTTGTGCTAGCCCATTTTCCGAGTGCTATGTCACTGCTCCCCACGAATGTTCTCAGATGTGCTACCCAAAAGCTCTTTAAAATGTATCGACAAGCATAGTGCTATTTTTTATTCACCCCTGGTTGAATTCATAGTAAAAATTCAATCATCCCATTGTAATCGATTGTGTAAAACAGCATTGTCTGGCAATGCCCACCCTTCTGTAAGACACCTCAGTGACTCGTAACAAATGCAAGCCAGTGTATCCCGTACTACCATTGTTCCATATCAAGCCAGGCTATTGGTTTACCGAGAATAACTGGCTAATGATTTAAAAAGAAGCTCACTTGAATACTCCACAACCACCACCACCACCCGATTCTTCTCTGTTAATCTTATTTCACACTGTATGCAAATGTTTTTCGTTTCCGACAAAATGTGTTCACCTGTTGCTTAAATAACGTGCACGGTGAACTTGAATTGATTTTTGAATCCCGCTATGTGCTTTCATGAATTGAGACATTCTAAAAACTTCAAGACAATATTCTGTTTTGCTTTTACAGAAAATTTATAGTAGAGGAATATTTCGCTTCATGATTAGAGAATTACTTGCTTTCCGACTCGCCTTCAACATCAATTTTTCCAATGGTCCACCAACTCACTTCATACTGGTCTTTCAGTGTACGCAGTGACCCAGTTTTTGTCACCTCGACACATACGCACATCCTCGTTTCCAATTAAGCATCTAATTATCAGATGGATTATTCAAGATTTTGTGGAGAAAAGTACATACGGATATGACATTAGATAACAATTCTTCACATGAATGTCTGCTGCACAAGCCTTATAATAATTCATTCAGAATTTGGTGACCTAACAAGCGTAAGTGAACTATTCCAAACACTTTGACGCAAGCGAAGTTCGCTAATCCAACTCCATAAATAGGTGCGTAACTGTTAATATTTTGAGTGTAGTAAATGAGCCGGCAATGAATCTCTTTTGTGTTAACTTTACTTTCGTCGTGAGTCAGCTCGTTTTTATGAAATGCATCAAAGATTGTTTGATGCACTCAAATTTTCTACAGTATTCCGAGAAAGCTCGCAAGGTCGTGTGTAAATGTCTCGTCCGGTTGTCGCGCTCAATCCGGACATATCTATTTGAATCTGGATAACGCGAGCTGGATGATATCCTGGCCACCGTGCATGAAGGCACAACCAATTTTCGTTCATCCTAAGATCGAACGATAGACATAAATGCCTGGTGATCTAACGCTAATATCTGTATTTCTCAGAACTAAAAGAAAACACTTCGCGGACAGACTCATGAAACGACCGGTGTCGAGTTGATTTTATTCGCTGGGGACAAGAAAACTTTATTCGCGGATAGCGCAGAACACTTTTCCATTTTCACCCATTCCTGGTTCCAGTAAACCGCAATTGTTCTCAATGGGTTTCAAAACAAGACTGCAATTGAGCCATGCAATGATCTATATATTTTCTTTAGATATGCATTGTGTATTAAAAATCTCCGTTTTTGTTAGAAAGACCAATATATGGGGTCACATGATCTCTTGTACATGCTCCAAGATTTTGGTGTTGAGTAATTTGGACATTCTTAACCATCATGAATAGGTAGCTAGAACGACCAGTCGTATGACAAAGATAACAGGATCATGAATGGTTCTGTCTCTGGCTGTCTACACGATCGATAATTTACAGTGTCAATTATGCAATCTGCAAACAATTTGGGATATGTAAGTCAATATTTTTACAAGTAAAAGAATCGATAATGAATTAAGTATACTTGAGATAGTTTTGTACGTATTACTGATGTAACAAATACAACAACAACAACCGAAAAACTCACCTACACTCCTCGGACGAATAGTCGGACATTGAACCAGCAACCGAACCTCCTCGACGAACTCTGGCCAAATTACGAAGCCGTTCCAGCTCGGCCAAGACAAGTTCTCGCTGTGGAACGGAGTTGAATAGTTTAAATAGTTAGATGATCATACACTCATGAAGGAACAGAGAGGGCTGATTTGACAACGAATGTTGTACGTTACATGTAACAGCAGTCTATTTTAATGTAAACTATTCTAAATGATCCGATCGACCGAATTTGTGAAGAAACTTCATATTTTCACCTTTTATCCACGAGCCCTCTGTGACTCACAAAACATGCTGCTGCTTTACCGGGTGCACCTTACCTGTTCATGCTCAGTTGCAGAATGATCACTTGTCCCAGTGAGCCCCGTTGCACGTATAAACCTTCTGCCGCATGTTTTGCTTTATAAGATGTTGGCTACCCGTATCAGTCTACTAACTCGATCAGAGCAAAAAGTGTGATGCTGTTCACTGTGCTTGGGAGCGTTGATGTAACTTACGTTTAGTTATCGTGCATAGTATTTGCTAACTAAGACCCACGTTGATTTGGGTTCGAGCTTTGAGTCGGGCAATTGGCTTTCTATTCTACGTAAACTCCCCTAGTGAAGGCAGATTGTGTGGTGGGAAGTTCTGCTCGATTGCACCGACAACTATATAGTAAAAATCAGAAACTCTTTCGCTTGATAGTGCCAAGAGAAGTGAATCCTTTCCTGTGAAAATTATACAGTTGTTCCAACTGAACTGCGAGTTTAAACTAGGAACTAATGTGTAATACATCAACAGATGATTGCTAAAGACCATGCATCCTTATTTCAAATTGATCATTATAAAAGATTGATTATGCAGATTTGACGATTTGGATGAAACAGTTCTCTTACTGATAGAATTCTTTCTTTCTTTCTCCAAACAACTGAAATTGATGAAGCGTTCATGATCAATATTGACTTAGATATTCAAACAATGTATATCCAAGTCATGCACTTGTGCAGTAGTGACGTTTCACACTATTTCTCATGACAAATAGTATGTGCGTTTCAGTTCAAGAAACCAATGCATAACACTTTTGTAGGGTAAAGGAGGAAGAACGATAGACCTTATTCGGGATAATAGGTGTATCCACAGCACATTGGTAACCCTGTCTTTTCTGTAAGGTTACTGAATAAAACGGAGCACGGAAACAATGACAAGTTTTGATTATAGCATAAGCAAGGCACAGAATTTCAATGTTGGTGAGCGACAAGAATCTGGTGAGTGTAGTTTTCACAATATTAAATGTGGATTCTGTACAATAAGAGAGGTTTGGGGTGAAAAAAGGCTGATTTCAGCCAAACCGTGAAAACGAACGTGACAATTCTGTTGGAGTAAACTAGAATAGATAGCTGAGGATTATTAGACAATGCTAGAGAGAAAGAACATAAGTATGCCAATGATTAAGATAGATTTAACTGTAAATGTTTTGCAAGGTCGGGCACTCTAGTTCGCCAACTTCAACCGTCATAGCAGCAAGCCATATCAGGTTATTCACTAACGTGTTACCGATAAATTGAATAGAGTTAACATTGCACACGGGAAGAAGCCTTGAGAATTCATTATTGTGAGAGAAACACTTCGGATCGAAAGTATACCTGGACAATTTTATTGGACTAAGGACTCATTGGAAGCACATGTTTTGAATGGGAGTCATAATATTAGCTAAAGACAAAAGGCTAAACCTCTTTGATACAGACTAGGATATTTATTATTTTTAGCACATGGAACGATAGGTTATTCTCTAACACATGTATGAAAATAATGGAAGAAAAAACAGCACACAGTGAACACCTCCACAGGTATTCAGTAACAAACGAAGTAATTCAGTACCCCACTTGAAATTCCGGCGTTAAGTAGATTTTGAAGACAGAATAATGCGCAACCAGTAAACAAAAGACTAATTTTAAGCCAACTAAAGGGTATTTTCGCGGAGGACATTTTTTCACAATGGGTTGTTATTGTTTTTCAACGATACTGGCGGCATGATATTGTTAACTGTTTTTTCTTTCACTAAAGTGTGTTGAACGCGCGAGAACTATTTCGACCAATAATGATTGCGTCATCATTGTCTGTATGGGCATCAATGTAGCATTCTTTAGTTACCAACGGGCCAATCAAATTGCTTGCCTGAGGAATCAACCATTCATTGTTTATCCTCTGGCTTGAAATCAGCCAGTGGCGCAAAGTTGACAGAACAATCAGAATTGCGTCTAACGCATAAAACTCACTTTTGCCTCGTCCGGATCACAAAAATCCAATAGTGTTTCACAAAATTGATGTCCCATTTTTTCGTAATCAAGAAAATTGAAATGGTAACCGCCTGTGAGAGGATCTTCACCGAATCCGCAAAATGTGGCCTGTAATACAAAGGGTTATATTTTTAGCGACGAGAGAGTACTGAGGTCTGTTTTGCCTTATCACATAATGCCTATATTCCAATTGTCGTTCGCAAAATCAATACAGTTGGAAAATATAAAACTATGATTGATTACTAGGTATAAACACCAATTTCTGATTTGCCCTTACCATAACATTCGATGACATTCGATTTAGCGGGTTGTTTTCGAACTCTTCCTCTCTGTCTCTCTGTTTCTACGCTCAACGAGACATTCAAACATCACATCGCCAAAATCTGAGCTTCTAACAACTCACAAAATTGTCTTCTTCCTTAAATGTGTTTGGAGAACAAATGTTTGTAACCCGACGAAATCCGGTTCTCACTAGCCCACGTTTGTAAGCCATGGGGAAAAAGCTGGGAAAACTGTAGATATTGACCATGCCATGTTGCTTTTCAATGAACTGAATTTTGTAATGTCCCATTCAGTCACCTTGTAAATTTCATGTCGACAAAAGCTAGTTTCAAGGTGGAAGCTCTTTATGTATATGACAAATGAAGCGTGAACTGAAACGCTAGGAAGCACTGGACAGCTGTTTCAACCTGGTTGGGTCACATCAGCAGTGCGAATCCATCGACCCAAATGGGGATCGAACCCGGGGCCCTTGAACGGAACGAAGGCATGCTACCCACTCATCTTCCAAATACACGACGAATTCCCACTTTGAAATTGAAGCAAATCCTCCATTGCTCACATGAAAAGCTAGTGTTGTTGGTTTCTACTTCACGAGATACAGAAATGTATGGATGGACTGAGTTAAAATCCTGTAAAAGTGTTTTAAAATGTTCCTCATCTGTAAGAATAAAAATATCGTCCGCATAACATTTACACAGCAAATATTATGGAAATATTATCACTTACTTTTTTCTCAGTCATTCCTAGAAACACATTTTTTAAAATGGGATCCAATGGACTACTCATGGTCACACCTTCAACTTGTTTGAATGTGATCCTTTCAAACTCAAATCGAATGTTTTCTGTACACATAAGAATAAGTTACCTTAAGTGTTTAAGGGGAATATTAAGGGAAAAATTGCTTGAAGAGAAATAATCACACAAAAATCAACTGTTTCTTAAAGTGATACATTAGTAAAAAGTGAATCCACACCTATCGAATACATTCTCTGTTGGGACATTTTCATGCTATCCGAAATATTAGAGAATTCAAAAGAATCTTTCAAACGTTGAGGCATAAGAGACTGACGAATGGGATCAAGGATGTCTGCTAGCCATCGGGCGACTTTGTGATAAGGAGACTGTTGCATGCCCAGAATTGGTTTGAGACGAATGCATTGATTACAGTATTCCTACCACTCACTGGACGTAACAAAAACAACAACACATAATACAGCAACACCAATAACAACAACAGCGACAACGACAATAAGGGTGAAGCTAACTTGAGACGAACAATGAGGGATGAAGTTAATCGTTTACCTGATGCATTTTTTGCATTTTCTCACGAAAGCATGTACGTAAGATCATGAAATCTGATGTGCATACTTATTGTTCCATCACCATATTTGGATCGTATACATACATAAATAGAGAAGCTCTGAGTAAACGAATCATGCATGTGCCGGAATGAGGTGAAATGCTTTTAGTGCAAATTCCGAGCACCAGCGATAAAAAGTGCAGACTAGAGGTCAATGTGTTGGCGGAGTGATCCCGCTTGATGTCTTGCGAAAAGTATCGCCGATTAAGTAAAATTATTCAAATCTTTTCGAAAGATCCTGGCGTTTTAGATCTAAAAGAAATCGTGTAATGCGAGGAAAAAGAAAAGAAAAGACCTAGATATAGCTTGTACGTGCGATATATTTAGTAGCCTAAATTTGGTTGGTATGTTTACTGTGTATGCCTTCGACTTGATCGAATGATCGTCCAATGCTGCCTGTTACCACATTTTTAGGCACGTATCTCATGCGGATTTGTACCATTATAATATTAATCCGCCCCAACCAGTCAGCCGTTGATGGTAAACTGTCCGCGCTGTTTGCTTCATTGACTGTTTGACTGTCCTGCTTGAGTGCACTCTGATGTCATGTAACGTTTGCGCCTGTTGTTGGTCTGCCTGACTGCATACGTGTTGATGACCTTGCTTGTTCATCGGCTCGTGGGACGG